CTTTATTATGGTTTATAATGGCAAATGAAACTTTGAATATTACATGTTAATAACTTGATTGGAATTATAACCTTGAGTTGACAGTTTGATACTTTGAAAATTTTGAGCCAGCCCGACCCCCAAGGGCTGTAGGGTGGGGCCCAAAGGAGTCAGTGTGCAAAAATTTCTTCATTTTCCTTGCTTAGAATCAGAGGTGCTAGTTTCAAATACTTTTTAGTCTTAAATCTGTATGCTTGATATTGAATAAGGTGGTTTTATTGTTTTTTGTCACTTTGAATAATATTTCTGTTCAAGTTAAAAACAAAATCAATTCTCTGTATAAATATATCAGGTGACCGTTAAGGCCCATGGGCCTTTTGTTCTCTCATATCTCACATAAACGGTATTGGTTTTCGGATGATTGTTGCAACAAATCCAAAAATATCTTTATGCTCTATTTTTTTGCAGGCCAGGAACTACATTTCGTCAATGCCAAAGTGGAAGAAAAAGCCGTTAGAGGAAGTATTTTTACGTGCTAACAAAAGAGGTTAGTATTTTATTCAAAAATTCTTCCCTCTTTTTCTAAAATATACTAAAGGGCATGTTCCTTAAGCGTTATATTGACATCTTTTAAAGCTAGCAGTATATTTCCATGTAAGTCTTTAACAATGTTTGTGTTTTCTAGCTCTGACTCTGCTGGATCATAACAATGTTTGTGTTTTCTAGCCTTCAATCTGCTGGATCATAATAATGTTTGTGTTTTCTAGCCCTCAGTCTCCTGGATCATAACAATGTTTGTGTTTTCTAGCCTTGAATCTACTGGATTATAGCAATGTTTGTGTTTTCTAGCCCTCAGTCTCCTGGATCATAACAATGTTTGTGTTTTCTAGCCTTCAATCTGCTGGATCATAATAATGTTTGTGTTTTCTAGCCTTCAATCTGCTGGATCATAACAATGTTTGTGTTTTCTAGCCTTCAATCTGCTTGATCATAACAATGTTTGTGTTTTCTAGCCCTCAGTCTCCTGGATCATAACAATGTTTGTGTTTTCTAGCCTTCAATCTGCTGGATCATAATAATGTTTGTGTTTTCTAGCCTTCAATCTGCTGGATCATAACAATGTTTGTGTTTTCTAGCCTTCAATCTGCTCGATCATAATAATGTTTGTGTTTTCTAGCCCTGAATCTGCTGGATTATAGCAATGTTTGTGTTTTCTAGCCCTCAGTCTCCTGGATCATAACAATGTTTGTGTTTTCTAGCCCTGAATCTGCTGGATCATATGCTGAACCTGGATTCTGACTGTAGAATTACTGCAGAACAAGCTCTAGCCGACCCCTACCTCGCCCAGTATGCTGACCCCTCCGATGAACCTGTTGCAAAAGTACCTTACGACGACTCATTTGAAAGTTTGGACCATGATATACCGGAATGGAGGGGTAAGTAAATTTGATTGCTCAAATCAACTTCAATTAGTGAATAAGTTACATTTCCTTAAAAGAAAATGAATTTTGCACTAAATATTTTTAAATTTTTCAAAGACAAACTGATAATATTGTTACAAAAAACAAACATATGTAAATATAGAAAAATAATGTTCTAGAAAATTTACCTAGTAGGAGTATTATTTTAGATCTGACTAAATGTGAATGTTCGGGAGAGGTGGGGGGAGGCACTTATAATTGATGACATTGGTGCTTGAGTCTAAAATAGTTTTCTTTGGGTTTAGAGGACCACAGGATAAAAAAAATATTGGGGGTGTTTAATAGTATTTTGTTTTGATTTATTTGAGTTTGTTATAAAATGTTGATATAAATATTTGGTTGTATGAATTACATAATATCTCATGTCACTCCTATTTTCAGAACTTGTGTACGACGAAGTGACAAATTTCCTTCCTCATGAACACATGTAATAAGTGACATACATATATAGACACCTGACAACATGTGTATCCATGGCAATAGCACACAAAACTTGTACTGGATATATGCAATAAGGCTGACACCCTGAAACTTGTTCACAACACAGTGGTTGTACTTCAGGATTGTCCGCCAGATCAAAGGATGAAGATGCTGGTTTACAGGAAAGGTCATGGACTGTCAAACAAAAATGAAAATTCATACCTCATCAATTATTGCATTATTTCTTTGAACAAATATGTTAGAAAGCAAAATAATTATACTAGTAACTGCTAGTCAGGTAGAACAATATCAATGTCAAAATTGTTCTGTGAATCAGTTTTTGCATCTACATGTCACACTTAAAAAGCAAATTATGTTTCTTGTCAACAGAAAATATTTTCATTTGTTTACATTGTGAAATATTCAAAATTTCTAGATTGAAGTTTTTGAACCCATATTCTGTGTTGACCACCTAAATAGATTATACTGCATGTGACAAAGCTGGTTATGACCAAAGCCTTGAGTCAATGAAGTGACCATGTCCTTGTTCCGTGAGACAAAGTTAGTCATCTTCAGGGTTTATAATTATCATATAAAACTTGTCATTTTCATTTTATTGAAGTGCTGTATAAGTGTAAATTATTGAAATGTAGAAATGCTTGTGTGTGTTGAATAAATTACCACAAACACATCCACACACGAATGTGTATATATATCTTATACAGATTTTAGATACTAAATATATATAGACTTTGAAATCATTGCCAACACGACAAATTTCCATACTGCGATAGTTTAAAGCATCAACGTGAACATCTTCACAAGCGAGAATTTTCAGTTTTACAGCCTTCTTTGACATTTCATTGTTGACATCACTTTTGACATATCATTTCTGTCTTGTCTTATTCATCACTACAACTTGTATGCATAAACCTGATGACTTTTGTACATATTGTTAGGTACCATATCTACGTGAGGTACCATATCTACGTGAGGTACCATATCTACGATTTGTTATTAGATCAAATACATCTATAGAATTCTTCTTTAAAGTTGATTTTTTTTAAACATTTTATTATTGTTTACATCAGTGAAACGTTTTATTATTGTTTACATCAGTGAAACATTTTATTATTGTTTACATCAGTGAAACGTTTTGTTATTGTTTACATCAGTGAAACATTTTATTTGAGTGAAGTTGAATACCTTTTGTCTGGTGATTTTTCAAACTTTGCTTCATTCTCTTTACAAAATTTGTGGTGAAACTGAGACCTAAAGAAGATATTTGCTATATTTTAAATCATGAAAATTGTTGAGTCAAGAACATTTTTTTTCAGTGGAGATGAGAGTCACAAATGAAGTAATTCCCTGTTAACGATTTAATACCTAACAATGTGGGTTGTTCTTCTGAATTGTAAAGTGTACAGATATAATATATGATATAGATAGTTTTTTTGAGAATTGAAAACTGAGTCTTTTTGTTTTGTGCATGTTTAAGACTTCATTTTGACTGATTCAGAATTTTACTACAAAAATCTTGTTTATGGGGTATAAACACAGAGTAAGGGTTCTTTCCCTTCCTATATTTTGTCCTATAAGTCTTAAACATTTGTTTATGGGGTATAAACACAGTAAGGGTGCTTCCCCTTCCTATATTTTGTCCTATAAGTCTTAAACATTTGTTTATGTCAATGCTTTTGAAAATAGCTGAATCTGCAAATAATTTGCGATTTGATTGTTGTAATAAATTCTTTATTCTATTTCTTGTTGAAGTTTTGTAAATTTATAATATAAAAAGATTGTTGTTTTTTTTAAAAATGTACTTTATACCTCTAAAGTTCCTGTTGTAGTTTTCTTCAATATTACTGGTATGTTTCAACTATCAGGTTTACCAGTCACCTATAAGTTCTGATGTCAGACATATTTATTTGCAATTAAATGTTTTTTGTTTACTGTTAAAAAGTCATTCAAAATCATGTCGCAAACATCAGTTTGTATATATTTATTTTGTAGAAATCATGTCGAACTCCTGTGTTTACAGGTTTGGTAGAATGTGTTGAAGATTTCAGGTGTTTGTTGAAACAACCTATGTATGTAGTTATTAGTGATTATGTCATATGGAAAAATATTCAAACAGAATAATGAAAATAAATCAGATCAATGAAAAAATTCATTTAACTTGATGTGATTTTCTATACAATATCTTAACTGTTTTCCCATTTCCCTTAGTAAACCAAGACTATACATGTATAGTTTTGACCCTTTGAACAAGATCGTCAGATACCTCTCGAGCTCTCTGTGTACTGCATCATTTTCACTTTTGAGAAGGTTGTCAAATATTCTAGCAATCATTGAATACCTATATACATGTTTTCAGCCTTCTTTGGGCACTTCTATGGAGACTTACACAAACGAACAGTCAATTTTTATCGAGAGCATTTCACATTTCTAATGTGAAGTAATGACATATTACGGCATCAAATGCAGAATATTAATTATCAGTTTTGATTGTCAACATTAAAACTGATATATAAATGTCTATAAGATGTATAAGGTTTATTTTGTGTACTTCAAGTATTATTGGTCTCCTGTGTATTGAATGAAAACAAGTGACTTGAAATATATGAAAATAAATAAATTGATCAGATTGTACCTTTATTCTTACATATTTATTTATGCTGTATGTTATCAAAAACTACATGGTACTGTGAACACAGTGTAAGTACGAGTGTAATAAATCTAATCATCGTAACTATAACAAAGTTTCTACTAGGGGACGACCCTGGTCGTGTACATTACTACTCCTGTATTCTACCAATCACACCACTGAGGAATTTTGCTGTGTGGGTCAGTTATAATTGACTAGATGGTTCACCACTGTGACAAACAGGTAGCTCTACTAACCAAGTCAGAAACAAGTGACTAGATGGTTCACCACTGTGACATACAGGTAGCTCTTATAACCAAGTCATGAACAAGTGACTAGATGGTTCACCACTGGGACAAACAGGTAGCTCTACTAACCAAGTCAGAAACAAGTGACTAGATGGTTCACCACTGTGACAAACAGGTAGCTCTAATAACCAAGTCATGAACATGTGACTAAATGGCTCACCACTGTGACATACAGGTCCCTCTTCTAACCAAGTCATGAACAAGTGACTAGATGGTTCACCACTGGGACAAACAGGTAGCTCTACTAACCAAGTCAGAAACAAGTGACTAGATGGTTCACCACTGTGACAAACAGGTAGCTCTCCTAACCAAGTCAGGAACAAGTGACTAGATGGTTCACCACTGTGACATACAGGTAGCTCTACTAACCAAGTCGCAAACAAGTGACTAGATGGTTCACCACTGTGACAAACCGGTAGCTCTACTAACCAAGTCATGAACAAGTGACTAGATGTTTCATCACTACATGTATGATATAACTTGATGGTTCACCATTGTGACATTAGCTGGTTCCCCTTTGTGGCATTAGATGGTTCACCATTGTGACACTACATGGTTCACCATTGTGACACTAAGTCATGAACATGTGACTAGATGGTTCACCACTGTGACAAACAGGTAGCTCTCCTAACCAAGTCAGGAACAAGTGACTAGATGGTTCACCACTGTGACATACAGGTAGCTCTTCTAACCAAGTCATGAACAAGTGACTAGATGGTTCACCACTGTAACAAACAGGTAGCTCTACTAACCAAGTCATGAACAAGTGACTAGATGTTTCATCACTACATGTATGATATAACTTGATGGTTCACCATTGTGACATTAGATGGTTCACCTTTGTGGCATTAGATGGTTCACCATTGTGACATTAGATGGTTCACCATTGTGACATTAGATGGTTCACCATTGTGACACTACATGGTTTACCATTGTGACACTAAATGGTTCACCATTGTGACATTAGATGGTTTACCATTGTGGCATTAGATTGTTCACCATTGTGACATTACATGGTTTACCATTGTGACATTAGAAGGTTCACCATCGTGGCATTAGATGGTTCACCATTGTGACATTAGATGGTTCACCATTGTGACACTACATGGTTCACCATTGTGACATTATATGGTTCTCCATTGTGACATTAGATAGTTCACCATTGTGACACTAAATGGTTCACCATTGTGACATTAGATGGTTTACCATTGTGGCATTAGATGGTTCACCATTGTGACATTAGATGGTTTACCATTGTGACACTACATGGTTCACCATTATGACATTAGATGGTTCACCATTGTGACATTAGATGGTTCACCATTGTGACATTAGATGGTTCACCATTGTGGCATTAGATGGTTCACCATTGTGACATTAGATGGTTCACCATTGTGACACTACATGGTTTACCATTGTGACACTAAATGGTTCACCATTGTGACATTAGATGGTTTACCATTGTGGCATTAGATTGTTCACCATTGTGACATTAGATGGTTTACCATTGTGACACTACATGGTTCACCATTATGACATTAGATGGTTCACCATTGTGACATTAGATGGTTCACCATTGTGACATTAGATGGTTCACCATTGTGGCATTAGATGGTTCACCATTGTGACATTAGATGGTTCACCATTGTGACACTACATGGTTTACCATTGTGACACTAAATGGTTCACCATTGTGACATTAGAAGGTTCACCATCGTGGCATTAGATGGTTCACCATTGTGACATTAGATGGTTCACCATTGTGACACTACATGATTCACCATTGTGACATTATATGTTTTACTATTGTGACACTAGAAGGTTCACCATCGTGGCATTAGATGGTTCACCATTGTGACACTACATGGTTCACCATTGTGACATTAGATGGTTCACCATTGTGACACTACATGGTTCACCATTGTTACACTACATGATTCACCATTGTGACATTGTATGTTTTACTATTGTGACACTAGAAGGTTCACCATCGTGGCATTAGATGGTTCTCCATTGTGACATTAGATGGTTCGCCATTGTGACACTAGATGGTTCACCATTGTGACACTACATGGTTCACCATTGTGACACTACATGGTTCACCATTATGACATTAGATGGTTTACCATTGTGACATTAGATGGTTCACCATTATGACATTAGATGGTTCACCATTGTGACACTACATGGTTCACCATTGTGACACTACATGGTTCACCAGTGTGACACTACATGGTTTACCATTGTGGCATTAGATGGTTTACCATTGTGACATTAGATGGTTCACCATTATGACATTAGATGGTTCACCAGTGTGACACTACATGGTTTACCATTGTGACATTATATGGTTCTCCATTGTGGCATTAGATGGTTCACCATTGTGACACTACATGGTTCACCATTGTGACACTAGATGGTTCACCATTGTGACACTACATGGTTCACCATTGTGACACTAGATGGTTCACCATTGTGACATTATATGGTTCTCCATTGTGGCATTAGATGGTTCACCATTGTGACACTACATGGTTCACCATTGTGACATTAGATGGTTCACCATTGTGACATTACATGGTTCACCATTGTGACACTACATGGTTCACCATTGTGACATTAGATGGTTCACCATTGTGACATTATATGGTTCACCATTGTGACACTACATGGTTCACCATTGTGACATTAGATGGTTCACCATTGTGACATTATATGGTTCTCCATTGTGGCATTAGATGGTTCACCATTGTGACACTACATGGTTCACCATTGTGACATTAGATGGTTCACCATTGTGACACTACATGGTTCACCATTGTGACATTAGATGGTTCACCATTGTGACATTAGATGGTTCACCATTGTGACACTACATGGTTCACCATTGTGACATTAGATGGTTCACCATTGTGACATTATATGGTTCACCATTGTGACACTACATGGTTCACCATTGTGACATTAGATGGTTCACCATTGTGACATTATATGGTTCTCCATTGTGGCATTAGATGGTTCACCATTGTGACACTACATGGTTCACCATTGTGACATTAGATGGTTCACCATTGTGACATTACATGGTTTACCATTGTGACGTTAGATGGTTTACCATTGTGACACTACATGGTTCACCATTGTGACATTAGATGGTTTACTCTCGTAACACTACATGGTTCACCATTGTGATTTACCTGTAACTTGATCAGTAACAAGTGACTACCTCTGGGATATTTGCATATTCATCAAACTTAATCTGCTTCATGAATTTAAAAAGAAAAGAACACAAAAAATACAAGCCTCTTCAAATCTAAGAATGTCAAGTTTTGAGGTTCTGAAATTAATATATACAGTCTGTTTTTACAGTCATGGTAGGGTACATAGATTTGGATTTGCCAAAAAGTTCCTGGTAAAAATAGCCACCCATTATGGAAGTGAGGCAATGCATTTCTGATGATAAATACATACATGTATAAAAAAAAATGTCATCCTGTTTCAGATACTTTCTAAACAAATAGAATTAATTGGATTATAGTGGGTGGATGAACTACACTGAACAACTTTAGAAAAAAATGTTTTTGAGCATTTTTCTTTGTACAGACTGGAGCAGTGTAATCTATATGTATGGTCAGAAAGACCTTGAGTAAAAGTACCTTAGCATTGTGTCAGTCTCCTCCCAGAGTTGTCCTTTCCTATACACACACTAACACACACCTCTGTCAAAGACTAAATGCCAAGAATCTTGGAAAAGTCTTGAAATCGAATTTTGCTAAAGCTACTGGGTCTTTCAGAAATGTTTTACATATTCAATTGATTAACAACATCATTTCTCCCAAAGATGTCATTGTAAGACAATTTTCAACACAAAACAGTTAGTATTATATTTGTCTCACCAGTGTGTAATACAGCTTGATATCTACATATGCCATATAAACAAAACCATGTTACCTGTGACGTAGTTTGCACCTGTTGGATTCACGATAAGCATAAGAGATTATATTATATAAATGCAAATGAATAAGAACCAGATTTGGTTTCAAAGGACAAACAGCTGGTGGAACTACTGGAAGATTAATATAACAGACAAAGTGACATTTTGGTAAACTTACCTTTTGATGAAATAGGCGATCCTGTCCAATGTAGCCATATGGTATGGTTTGATGGCACATGACAAACTGTCACATGATCACAGGCTAATTATAATACATACTACTTTTTAGCCAGTGACAGTAAGAAATGACAACTCTGGTTAGAGATTAGCAGTATATATTACCTCAACCTGGGCATTACTGATATAGGTACAGTGTGTGCATTATCAGAATACCATTATCAGATTACATGCACTGCTACCAGACCATCATTATCAGATCACTATTATCATATCACTATTATCAGATTACATGTACCACTACCAGACCATCATTATCAGATCACTATTATCATATCACTATTATCAGATTCATTATCAGAATACCATTATCAGATTACATGTACCGCTACCAGATCACTATTATCATATCACTATTATCAGATTCATTATCAGAATACCATTATCAGATTACATGTACCGCTACCAGACCATCATTATCAGATGACATGTACCGCTACCAGACCATCATTATCAGATTACATGTACCGCTACCAGACCATCATTATCAGATCACTATCATCAGAATACCATTATCAGATTATATGTACCGCTACCAGACCATCACTATCAGAATACCATTATCAGATTACATGTACCGCTACCAGACCATCATTATTAGATCACTATCATCAGAATACCATTATCAAATTATATGTACCGCTACCAGACCATCATTATCAGATTACATGTACCGCTACCAGACCATCATATCCCTATTATTAGAATACCACTATCAGATTACCATTTTCAAAATACCACTATCAGATTACCATTATCAGAATACCACTACCAGATCACCATTATCATAATACCACTACCAGATCACCATTATCAGAATACCACTACCAGATCACCATTATCATAATACCACTACCAGATCACCATTATCATAATACCACTACCAGATCACCATTATCAGAATACCACTACCAGATCACCATTATCATAATACCACTACCAGATCACCGTTATCATAATACCACTACCAGATCACCATTATCAGAATACCACTACCAGATTACCATTATCAGAATACCACTATAAGATCACCATTATCTTATCACTATTCTCAAAATACCACTATCAGATCACCATTCTCAGATTACTTTTCTCAAAATACCACTACCAGATCACCATTATCAGATTACCATTATCATAATACAACTATCAGAATACATTTATCATAATACAACTATCATAATACCACTACCAGATCACCATTATCATAATACCATTTATTAGATTACTATTATCAGAATACCACTACCAGGTCACCATTTTCAGAATACCACTACCAGATCACCATTATCATAATACCACTACCAGATCACCATTATCATAATACCACTACCAGATCACCATTATCATAATACCACTATCAGAATACCATTATCATAATACAACTATCATAATACCACTACCAGATCACCATTATCATAATACCACTACCAGATCACCATTATAATACCACTACCAGATCACCATTATCATAATACCACTACCAGATCACCATTATCATAATACCACTATCAGATTACTATTATCAGAATACCACTACCAGGTCACCATTTTCAGAATACCACTACCAGATCACCATTATCATAAAAAATGACGTCACGAACAATAGTGTGACTCCGAAAGGTCACTAAAATTCCCCCATCCAGTCTGCGTGTGTAAGTGATCTAGACCCGTGGATCGGATAGAATTTTCCAGCACCGCCGGAAATGCGGATATCTCGGTCTAGTATGAAAGAGTATATCGTACATGTAGTACAGGATCAATCTTTTGTTATATCAAATAACAGAGAAAAAGACAAGAAATAATTTGCAATATTTATTTTGTTGCATGCACAACTTTGTCTTCTATATTATAGTATTAAATAGATTGTATTACATTTGCTGACCATAAATAATTAATATATATGTGTAACTCATTTTCATCATAATTTTTTTTGTAGTTCATGTACAATAAAAAGTTTCAATATTAATTAAAAAACATTGAACATTTCGACAACAATATTCATGACATTTACATCATGACTAGCCATCAGATCCGAGGTTGGGCTGGAGGGTAAAAATCCACTTTCTCTAAGTTAAAGTCAATTGATTTTCAGATTATGGTAATTATAAGTCTAAAACTCCACACATTTGTCCAGGGTAAGTACCTGTTTTTTTCACTCATATATGTGAAAGTTATGTTAATTTGAATGAATTTTCAGATAATCTTATACCTAAATGCCCAGGTCAAGTGCTTTGAAAATTATGTATTAACACGTTTGAATATGATGCTATGTTTTTATTTCTAAATTTACATAATTACTTCAATACAAAACCACGCTGGCCATGGCAATGTCACATTCTACCTGTTTGTGTAGGTTAATTGTAAGCCTAGCGTGTATGTGTATGTACTACTAGTCTGTCATGTGGAAGCTTTAACTCTTTCAACACTGTAGAGCATAATGGACTCATCCATATCAATGCATGGTAGAGTCTACTAAAGTTACATAGGGGTGAAAGGGTAAATATAGACAACCAAAATACATAATTATAAATATAAAACCCCCACAAAAAAATATTTTTTAATCAGTGTTTGTGACAATGATGAATTTATCCTCATTAACTTAGAATGATATTTTCGTTTTAATACCATATATATTTTACAGATTTTGACTTTGAACCAATTGGTCTTAAACACATCTTTTGCATCTTTGATTTTTTTAAATGGTTTTGTCCACATATTTCAAGAATGATAGCACAATCATCACTGAAATCCACTTGACATGAGCTAGTGGAATTTTACAGCCCGACCCAGGTACAATGTACATGTATTAGTAGCTCAAACACCCGTAAATATTACAGATAAAGTTGTGCAGAAAGAATTTCAAATGTAATAATTATTTAATAAGAAAATAAACAGTTGATATGAAATTGTACTGCAAAAGTATGAGATTCAATCAAAATAACAGGTGATTACTATGATAACCTGTCATGATCATACAGTCTGCAGGACACAGTATTCATAAGACATCAGACAATCTATTGTATGTATTCATAAGACATTAGACAATCTATTGTATGTATTCATAAGACATCAGACAATCTATTGTATGTATTCATAAGACATCAGGCAATCTATTGTATGTATTCATAAGACATAAGGCAATCTATTGTATGTATTCATAAGACATCAGACAATCTATTGTATGTATTCATAAGACATCAGACAATCTATTTTATGCATTCATAAGACATCAGGCAATCTATTTTATATGATTGGATGCCATGGAGGACCAGGGCAGGTGGCATAAGTTTTTATTTTCAAGAAGTTATTTTTTTTAAAATTTGAAATAGATTATACTTCTACCTTGCTTTCATGTAAATATTCAGTTACACATTTATTTCTATTGATATGCATATAGTGAACATATTTGTCAATGTAAAGCCTTATTTTATATCCCATACCTGCAGATATCTGAATTCTACACCAAATGTATGTAACTTTTATTCATCCTATGAATGCTTATATATATCAAATTGTTAAAGTTTTCTTGCATAATAGACAAGTATGTAATTTAAAGATTTTCTCATCCAACATTTTCTGATTTAAAGATCCCTACCTTGATACAAATAAAACAAAAGGGGGAAAATAAATAACGTAATAAAACAAAACGTTTAAATCAAGAAAAGTTACAATCTTTGTGAAATAACATCCAGATCTATTAAATAAACATCCTGAAGTAACTACAGATGAGTACAGAATGATGATCTCAAGTTTAACATTTTTATCATATTATGAAACATTGTTTTAAGAGGGAATACATGAATCACACATTTTTCAGATAGCTTTGATATTATTTTACAATTAAAAATTGATTAAATGATATCGGTACATTTCTAGGAATGGACGGACGCTCATGGTCACAACAAAATCATTTACACCAACACCAATAAAATACAGCATTTAGTGACTTTGACCCCTGACTACAAAAGTACCTAGGTAATTATGACATGTAAAATCAAACGCTTCTGCCACTTTCCTTTTCTTCATCAAGTCATTTATGATGGCAACGCCAAAATATTACAAAGCCATTAAGACAATAATTAAGTAATAACAATATTTTTTGTATTAAAACAAACAAACAAGTCTCAAATATTACCAGTAACACCAAGTATCTTACCCTAGGTAACTTATTGTTTCTTCATTAAGTTGTCATTTGATGCTATATTTTTCAGTCAAGAAATAATTCATATTATAACAAGTTTTTACAAAAATATGTGCCATAATTATTTTTGATGTCTGTACGCATGATACAGTCACTGCATATGTAATTTGAGCACGAGACTCATGAAAATTGCAACACAGAAATTACTCATGGTGCGGCACACAGGAATTTCAATCGGTCCCACACAAAGAAAAAAAAGTTGATTTTATCAGTAGTTTTCATATAATTTATACAGGCTATTCCTGAACATCTCGAAATTTTGATGAATTTCATTACAAAAGATACGATGGGTCCTCAAAAAGTTGATGAGTCAAATAGCTGAGTCCCAAAAACCACTGGATCCAGAAACAATAGCTGTGTGCATGTATTCACAGGCCATAAATCACAGTGCATACACACAATTACAGCTACAAACAATAGCTCTTCAAATCATTCTGTTTAACTTTTATCATTCAAATTTTGTCTACACATGTCACATAGTTCATTCCATTATAATCTATTCAAGTGTAAAGTTTACTTATTAGAGAACAATATATATCCAATCTTTGTAAGTTATAATATAAGCATACTATGGGCTTTATATATATTGAGAACAACAAACATCATCTATTTAAAAACTTGCCAAATAAATGTTGAGCAGACCTAAGTTGCAATTGTTTAAAGTTCACTTGTTTTTAGTCTTAATGCAAAAAAAACAACAAGCATATTTTCAAAAATACAGTAATTAAAAGTTGTATGTATAAGCATTCACAACATAGATCATCTTAGGAGAACAAATACAAAGATATTTGTAAATTTTAAGCTATTGTTTGAGATCTCATTTTGAAATTTGTGTTAACAACTTAATAGTCTAATAAGGCCTTGAACAACATAACTAATTTCTGGTAACATGTACAGTTTTGCTTACCAGCTATGTTGTCCACTGCCTTACATTACATAAAAACGTTTGGCAGATTTTTTTTACTACAAACAAAATCAAAGGCGTCTCATTAAAGTATGAAAACTTAAATTTTTCTTAGTTCTTGGCTTTAGATGGTATTTTTTCGTGCATAATTTTGTAATGCTTCTGTGTGGTAGTTCTTTGAATATGAATACTAATATTATTCATCACCATCGTATAATGTTCAACTGTACTGACATTTCTTTCAGCATAGTTTCCTCATATAATGTATTTTCATATGTAGTTGTTGAACGTCGATAGGAAGCTTGAGCGTGTGGAGACGTCTAAATATCCTCTTAATTCTGACTCGATACGTTGCTAGCAGCCAGCAACAGACTCATAAGTGAAGAGAGAAGCCTGGAAACTTTCCCAACTACTATACTGTTCTTTCTTTCAACAGATCCATCTCATTTATCATTCAACATACTTTTCAGTGTATCTGTTAGCCACTCAAATCCTTCATGCAACCCTTCTCCAGTCTTTGCGTTACTGGAACATATATGCCAAGGTTTGTCGCGTATGCTTTTTTCCAATTCCATAACCATTGAACATCGGACACTTGTCATGGATTCCCGCAAGTCCATCTTGTTTGCAAAGAATAGAATTGGTATTCTTCTTTTCATAATATCTTCATGCTTTAGAGCTTGATCTAATTCATCTTTTGCTACAGCCATCCTCAGTTTGTCAGAACTGTCGAGTACAAAAATGATTCCATCACAGTTCTTGAAGTAGTGCTCCCATAGGTTTCTGTATCGTCCCTGTCCTGACATATCGAAAGCTGTAAATTGTAGGGAATTGTTCTTGAACCTGTCTACAGTGAAACCAACAGTTGGAGCCACATCCCTGGATCGTTTGTCCTCTGGCTTCAGTTGATCTATTATAGTAGTTTTACCGCTGTTGTCCAACCCTATAACCAATAAATTTGCCTCCTTCTTCTTAAATCCCATAATTTCTGCCAATCTTGACAGAAATCCCATGTTGACATCCAACACAGGTATCCAAATTCAGTTAAAATAACACAGGTACAGTGCCCTCAGATTTCTTATTATCTTCTTCCTATGAGAGACTTATTCAGTAATTCAGATATACACATAATAAGATACGTTCACTAGTCGTTGCAGAGTGTTAAGATGTGTCGAATTCGCTAACAAAAACGGATTTTTTACTAGAAAGGTTTTCACTTCACCTGTGCCAGCATGCCGTCGTCGAGGACTCCATAAAATATTTCCCATAAGCCCCTTATCAATAAAAACCGTAGCGTCTTCAATGCGTTTGAATAGAAAGTAAATTACCCACAATGTCAAAGTTCTAAAATGACACCGATATACCGAACGGTGCCCGTAAAATGAAAACGATGGAGCTAGGAACAACTTAACACCAAGAAATAAGAAATAGTACATATGCCATGAACTATTTTTATTGCATCTTACACTGTAGTGAAATGTTGTAATGTAAAGGCGATTCATCCAGGTATTGAAACTGTCAAATATCGTCATATGTGCGTTGTTTCTGGAAAGCGGGAGGGGGTTACAGTACTGTCGTCCGCATGTACATCGCATTTGGTGGCAGCGTATAGTTTACACGTAGTGACTCCGTGTGGTCATGTAAGGCCATTTATCGGTGGATAGGGAAGATGTATCACGCCATTGCAATTGGTAAATCTCGTTTGCCCTAGGTTGTTTTGCTCAAAAAAAAAATGTATACGCTAATATAATAATTAATATTTAAATATATCAACTAAACTTATTGATATCTTTCTACATTGGTGAAAAATATGCAATTGTGTGAGTGCTGAGTCAGCTTTTCACATCTGCCATTTGTCAAACTCGCTTAAAAACAACGTTAAACACATTTTATTTATAAAATTGATTTTAATGATATGGATGACAACAAAGGCTTAATTTGTGACTTAAAGCTACTAAAATCTGAAGAAAATACCAAACAATGTTTCGCCCTTAAATCTTTGTTTTACGGCAAAACAACAACCTTTGTGCCTATCAGTGTGTACATTACTAGGCAATATAAGCCAGTGGTCTAGCATCATTTTCTGATTCAAGATTAAGTCAGTGGCCTCTGTAAAGTTACCTGATTCATCCTTACTCATAACCTCACAAACCCCTTAACAAAGTTTGTTTATATATACACACTGTAGTATGGTACGTAACAGTGAGTTTTACACCTGATTATTTTTTGGTGGTCATCGGTTTAAGTGTCAAAGTTCAAACAAAGTGTCAGACGAAGTAGAAAGTTGAAACATTAGTCCAAGTGTCAAAACTCTTAAATTATAATATCCTAACTACTTTTGGGAAAGTACTTATACATTGTATACAAGTACCATAACATTTCGGTACCGTAATGACTGAGTATGAAAACGTTCATTTGGCTATATCGTAAAATGTATCTGTCACCAATAACATACTATAACACACAGTAACAATGGTCCAATCTCCTGGTGCATCGATTTACAGCAAAGTACTAGAGTCTCAGATTCAGTCATTATCAGTGCTTAACTAATTATTTTCATGTTTATTGTTTTAGAAAATGGCGGATGAGTACTGCCGAAATATATTGCGGATCAGTCTTGCCCAAATTTGTCAAAATCTTGGATGGAATGCTGCTCAAGCGACACCTCTGGAGCTTCTTACCGATGTTTTGGAGAGATATCTCCTGGAAGTAGCCAAAGTTACCCATCGTTACTCAGAGCAGTGTAATATTTTTGTGCCATCATATTTTCATATATTTTTTACTGACTCCCTATATATCTAAAGTGGGTTAGCCGTTTAAGTGACCAACTACATAACAAACTCTATGTATCGATGACCCTTGAAAGTTATCAGAGCATATTTTTTTTATAAATGCCATTTCGAATTTTGCATCAGACCCAAAAAAATGATTTTTAATGGTGGATTACATTCAATTATAATGATATAAGTAGGCCTATATAAAATGCTCTAATATTATTTTAAGAACAGTTTTGGTTCTACAGAGACTTCAATTTATGACTACTTGGTCAGAAAATGAACGTCATTGTTTTCTAAGGTGCTGTTAAGTGTATTGATAGATGATTAAATCTTGTTCTGAGTTGTGTCCATGTATATGTAGTCCCTTCTGAATTGTTCATGTACAGTCATAATAACAATAGGAAAATAAAATAAAATAAAAAAGCAAGGATCTCAATAATTGATGTTGTAGTGTACCCAGTTATAGTGTTGTTGTGTATCCTCCTCTACAATTTCTTTACAGTTGGGAGGACCGACCCTAACTTAGATGATCTGGGCTTAGCGTTTGGACACTTAGGTATACAACTAGGAGAATTGGAGGACTACGTTCACCATGTTGACCCATTGCCATTTGCCCAAGAGGTTGTGGCCTTTCCGGCTCCAAAAAGAAACAACCTTCAGTTCCCCAGATATGACAGCAGAGAAGTGCTACAAAGGGAGGAACACATTCCTGAGTATCTGCCAGCAATGTTTCCTGGTTGGTAGATATACTTTTGAAATACCATCAAATTAAATTAAACTTTAATAATTTTACAGCAATTGTGAAACAAGCTTTATCAACTTTTAGTAATCACTCTTGTTGGCTCAGATCCAGATGTTAGCATGCAGGAAGGGGGGGGGCGCTGAATGTGTGGGAGGAAAACCTGACCCCATACCTTTACACCTCAGATTGGGGAATGAATCGTTCCCCCGTTCTCTTGGTGAAAGGCGAGTGCGCTTTCCACTTTCTTTAAATATTTTTTTTTAAATTTGATTATTGACTGTCATGGAGAGAAATTAAAAATCTAACCAAATTGGCTTCTGAATTATCATAATATAAAGAATTTGTGCAAAGTATTGCTCAGTTGCTTTGAAAAACAGACATTGCACAAACTTACATGATAACATAAAAATACAAGGTAGTTGCTTTGTCGTAAAATATTGTTTTCTTCAATTAATTGATGTTGAAAATTGTTGATTTGCAGATGGAAAATATATTTGTTTGCATAAGAAATTCATTTCATCATTTTCAGAAGAGATTGAGACTCCACAGTCTCCTCCTCCACACACCCAGCCAGAAACCTGTCTGCTTCCACTCCCTCCGACCACACCCTTGGCTGTCTCACCCTCTGACATTCAAGTGGATGGTACTTCAGTCAGCCCAGGATTGTCCGACAAGCGCCTCCTGACCAGTCCACCATCTGGGGGACCACCTTCCAAAAGGATCAGGTAATGTGGTTAACTTAACTGGGTAGTGGACCTAAAAAGTTGTAGCCTTACTGACAGCCACATGGTCTTCTAATATAATGACAAATTAAGTGACAAAATTGTAGCACTTCATGGTTTTGAAATGTTTGCTAAATGTTGATATCCGGATATGTCCAACCATTGATCAATAACTGGTGTTTTGTCTTCTTTCAGATTAACCACTCTACCAGAAGAGGCAGCACATTCACAGTACGAGATGAAGAGCATGGCGATGACTGTTGCTGGGGAGGTGATGCCGACAGGTGGCTATATAGGCAAACTTCCTGATGCTAAAACACCCCCTCAAGGCTTTCCAAAGAGGTTTCCAAAGGACAACACTCGAGGTTCTGCTTCAAAATCAGCATCTTTGCTGCCTGTGGCAAGAGATATTCTTTCCGAATTAAATAGCAAAAAGGATTCAAATGAAGGCTCCCAAAAAAAAGACAAGGATAAAAGTTCTTCAAATTCATCATCAAAAAAGAGTGGAGTAAAGAAAAAATCAAATACCAGCTCAGAAAAGAAAGATGTGTCCAAGTCAAGAAGTAAAGTTAAAAAGGGCTTACTAACTCCCAAACCAAGGCCGAGGCCGAGGTCAAGGTCAAAGTCACCAGCAAGGGCTAAGAGTCCAAAGGGAGGGGGGACTAAGAAGGGACAGAACAAGGTGTTTAGTGATAGTGGTGCTGGACTTTTCTCAGAAACAATTATGTTGGAGAGACAGAAAGGGCCCAGTTCAGAAAAGGGCAGGTCTAGTTCCCCAAGTGTTAAGAATAAAGATGAATCCCTCTACAGTGCAGTCACATCTCATAAAAACAAAGATTCACCTAGATCTATTCCTCTGGATTTGAGTTGTAAACAAAAGGTTTCTAAACCCAGCGACTTGGAGGAAAAGAAACGTAGACTAGATGCTATTCAAAGTTCTATTGACAGTGTGTTAAGACAATCAACATTAAACCAAACAGAAAAGGAGCCAGACATTCCAGATGACTCATTTGTTCCAGTAGAAAAGGAAGTAGAAAAAGAAGATTCTAAGCCAATTGAAAAGATAAAAGATTTAAATTTGAGTTCCTCTATAGATGATACTATCAATGCTGTGATAGGGGCAGCAGATAGGGACGATACACCGGTAGGGTTAACTCCCGTGTTGGTGAAGGAGGAGGTTATAGAACAGGATGTTGTTACACCAACACCTGCCTTGCCTCAGTCACCAGTTTTGACACCAGTGTTAACACCTCAAACCTCTCCACGCAAAAAAGGGAGACCACCCAAGAAAGGTAAAAACAAAGGCAATAAGAAACCTTCCACTCCACCTGTGGCTCCGTCTGTTGTAGAACCACCACCTATTATGGAACCCAAGTCTCCAAAAGATGAGAAGTTTGCTGTGTTTGACTTTCCCGAGAGTCCACCAATGAGATCCACTCCTAAACCCAGCTTTCCTGCCCCTGCCCCTGCCCCTGCCCCTGCCCCACCTGCTCAAGCACCAACTGCTCCCCGAAGTCCCAGTCCTGAACCTGTGGAAGAAGTGCCACCGGTTGTGGTGGAGGAACTACCCCCACCTGTGATGGAGGAACCACCCATTAACATTAAGGTGGATGAGAGTGCTCCTGTAGCACCTATAGCAGAAAAAAGTCACAGCAAGGATAAGGAGAAGCACAAATCTAAGGTGAGTGTCAAACTTATGGTTAGGTGGAGTTTTGATATCTGTGTTTCTTTCAATACTTTCAGAGGAAAATGATCGATGAAATGCATTGATGATTTTTTATCCATTATAAAGATATCTCTCAAGCCCAATTATTAGAACGATAAAAACTATCACTAGGAAATACACTTGGGAAATTTCATCACAAATTGGGTAATAATTACCCTATTTCTGAAGAAAATCTCCACGAACAGTTATATTTCCCCAATTTCAGTTAAATTCCCCCCATCCACTAAAATTTCCCCATTCCGCTGAAATTTCCCCTTGTCCACTGAAAGTTTCCCAAACCTGTCAATCATAGCCCCATGCACAGCCCCATTCATTGCTACCAACAGTCACGCTTGGGTGATCAACAGTTCCCCAACAGGACAATCCAACACTAGTACTCCTACTATTGAACAATGCTACATGTATCAGATAAAGGATCCAACACTTTTACTGTTTAACAATGTAGTAGCACTGTTTGGAAAATAAAAGATACTGAACCCTTTAGGACCGGTATTGTGATCTTCACATATTGTTACTTTCTACATGTTTTAGCCTGCTATATATGTATATATCCTGTCTATATAAAAAGCATGTACGGGTGCTAAAACAGGAACTGGGTACCTGCCTGTATACAAAAATAACTTTGTTAAGTCAAGGGGTTTGAATCTGAAAGGGAGCTAAAAAAAGCACCTGACACTTCCCTGTATACTATAAGTATACATGTGAGGGGGCTTAAACTTATTTCTAAAACTAATACATCAGACAGTAGGTCATTGTTGGAATGCATAATTTATGTTACAGGAGCATAAAAAGGAAAAGAAAGAGAAGAAAAAGGACAAAGAAAAGAAAAAGAAAAACAAAGATAAAGACCGGGACAAAGAGAGAAGCAAACACAAAGACAAGAGTAGCAAGGTAAGTTTGTTTTAGATGACCAATTGTGACAAGGTTAGGATGGTTTTAGATGACCAGTTGTGACCGAGTTAGTTTGAGTTTAGATGACCAGTAGTGACCAAGGTTTTTTTTGCTTTTGGATGACCAGAGGAAATCTTCTTGATACTAGCCTTTTTATATGCCCGTCACCTTTGACAGGAGCATTATGGTATGGCGTCGTCCGTCCGGCGTAAACTTTTATTTGTCCAGCAATCTCATCCTACATTTTTTGACCGATCTCTTTGAAACTTGGTATACATTATAATCGGTATACATTATAATCATGACATGAAGTTGTGTTTCCCTGAAAAGAATTTTGATTCGACAATCTTTGCAAAGGTTATTCCCCTTTGTTCGTTTCAGTATTTGATTTTTGTCCGGAGATATCTCCTCCTACATTTTTTGACGAATTTCTTTGAAACTTAAAAGGTTAAATAATCATGATATATTGTTTTGTTTCCATGAAAAGAATTTTGATTTCGACAATTTTTGCAAAAGTTATCCCCTTTGTTTATTTCAGTATTTGATTTTTGTACGGCAATCTCCTCCTACATTTTTCAACGGATCTCTTTGAAACTTTGTATACATTATAATCATGATATGAAGTTGTGTCTGCCTTAAAATAATTTTGATTCATTGATTATTGCAAAAGATATAAATAGCACAGAGGGGTTCTCAAGTGTAATGTTATAGAAAACTAGAAAATCCAGAGATAGGTTTTCCATGCCTTTTCACATTTAAATTAAAAAGTTAAACATTAACCTAGTTGTGAAAGGTGAGTGTCAGCTAACCACTCTTAGAATGATGCAGGTCCTTTTTCAATGTAAGAAAGTATATAACACTATATGGCATTCGACGGGCGTATATTGTTCCGCCCTGCGGTACTCTTGTTGTGAATATGGAAAAAGCTATTTTAAATTCCCCTTACTTAACTTCAGCTTTTTGATAAAGAGAAAATACATCCTTTCCTCTATGCATCTAACTTTCCAGTAACTATTTACCAAAAACAAGCATATTCCCCCCCCTGCCAATCTTAACTTTGTCATTTTAAACCTATTTTGTGTGTGATTTTTAAACTTTGATAGTTATATCATTTTCAGTCACCTGGTACTTTCCCTACTGGTTTGACGAAGCTGAAGATTCGACTGGGCAGTTCTCCCTTCTCATCGACTGTGACTTACAGTTCCAAGGCCAAGGAGCAGTCTCCATCAGGGTCTCCAGCCCAGAGGCCGGAGATACCAAAACTGTGAGTGAATCTCCGGCCACTGATCAAACTAAATGAGATATGCCTCATTTAAGATTTAAGTATGTGTAGTAAATTTGAGGAAAAAAACCAACATATCCACCAAAAATGTTTAATGAGAGAAAGTTGATATTTCTAGGCATTACTACATGTACATACATGTACATCCATGGTGCGACGTCCGTCGTCCAGCCGGCTTCAATTTTTTACTTTAAACAACTTCTTCTCAGTAACCAAAAGGCCTAGGGTGATGATATTTGGCCAGAAGCATGCTTGGATGAAGGGCTACCAAGTTTGTTCAAATAAATTACCTTCATAAATTTTCAAGGTCACAGGGGTCAAATATGTTAACATCTTTAAACAACTTCTTCTGAATAACCGAGATGCCTAGGGTGATAATATTTGGCCAGTAACATGCTGGGATGAAGGGCTGCCAGGATTTTTCAAATAAATGACCTTGACTTATATTCAAGGTCACAGGGGTCAAAAATGTTAAAAACATTTAAACAATTTCTTCTGAATAACCAAGAGGCCTAGGGTGATGATAGTTGGCCAGTAACATGCTGGGATGAAGGGCTACCAAGTTTGTTAAAATAATGACATTGACCCACTTTCAAGGTCACAGGGGTCAAATATGTTTAAAATCTTAAAACAACTTTTTCTGAATAACCGAGAGGCCTAGGGTGATGATATTTGGGCAGTAATATGCTGGGATGAAGGGCTACCAAGTTTGTTCAAATAAATGACCTTGACTTATATTCAAGGTCACAAAGGGGAAATATGTTTTAAACATTTAAGCAACTTCTTCTGAATAACCAATGGCCTAGGGTGAGGTTATTTGGCTAATAGCATGCTGGGATGAAGGGCTATAAAGTTTGTTCAAATGAATGACCTTCATCTTTTTTCAAGGTCACGGGGTCAAATATGTTCTAAACCTAATTTCTTCTGAATAACCTAGAGGCCTAAGATAATGCCAGTAACAAGCTGGCACAGGGGTCAAATGTGTTTAAAACCATTGAATGACTTCTTAATAAGCAAAAGGCCAAGGGTGATGATATTTGGCCATTAACATGCTGGGAAGAAGGACTACCAAGTGAATGACCTTCGTCCATATTCAAGGTCACAGTGGTCAATATATGTTTCAATCTTAAATGATTTGTTCTGTATAACCAAAAGGTCCAGGGTAATGATATTTTTCCAGAAGCATGCTGGGTTGGAAGACTAAACTTTGTTCAACCTAATAATATAATGTCCTTGTTCGACATTCAAGGTCACAGATGTCATATGTTTAAATCTTTTAATAGGTTCTTATGAATGAAACACTGATTTTTTGCCTGTAGCTGTATTTTAGTCCACTTTTAAGATTACAAGTGTGAGATTAATACCAGGTGAGCGATGCAGGCCCACTGGACCTCTTGTTCGTACATACAGTTATCTCCCCTTAATTTTATTTTGGATATAACTAGGATGACTGGACCTGGTTACTTCCGTTAACAGCAGGTAGCTCACCTTGTAGATCAAGAGTATAATGATCTGAGGTTCGGGTCTGGCTTCATTGCATTTTTACACTCGGGGCATGGATATGGATCCTTCTGTGATTCATCTTTATCATTATTTGTATAAAAGTTCCACAATGAGTGGGTTTTTTTCAGAAATGTTATATTAAAGCTATAGCTACAAGAAAAACAGTTTACAATACAGTTTTAGCAGTGGTACAGGGACTTTCAATTTTACCTATTGATACTGTGAAAATATAAAGAAAGTTGTATTGTGCAATTGCCCACACATTTTGTAGGGATGGATGGTTGTGATAAAAATATGCTACATGTACTATATTAAATTGGGTTCGTAGGTCATGTTTGAAATGTAATGTTGAAATAAAATTCTTTCATTTGGCTAGCCATTTAATCAAGCTGTATGTTCTATAGGGTCATCAAACCAATGCCTCCGCTGCCCTCTAGTCAGGAAAGGGGATCTGACTCACCCAAGACATCATCTAGCAGTGCTAAATCCAGTAAAAAGGAGAGTAAATCTAAAAAGGATGTCGGCCATATTGTCGTGAAGAAGGAAATTTTCCCAGAAAAACTCCCCACTACACCACCACCAGTACCTAGGACACCATCCCCAGCTCCAACAGCAAAAACACCCTCCCCAATGAAGAAAACACCTTCACCTGTTCCAGTAAAACATGAACCCTCATCTGTGCCTCCGCCCAAGCCTATGACTCCAGTGCCTCCGCCCAAGTCTGTGACCCCCGTGCCAAAGTTTACAGGGTCAGAATCACCAGACCAAAGTTCCCATGATAAACCACCCATTCTCAAAATGGAAATGATTGACGAGCCACCAGTGCTGACACCACAACCTTCCCCTTGCCACAAGACTCCAACACCTCCACCCCCCAGGAATAGAACCCCACCCAGGGTTCCTATCAAACCTGCTCCTTCTCCTGTCCCTAGCCCTAAACATCCCCCGTCACCCATGCCTGTATACTCCCCTTCACCTGTCCGAGTCAACTCTCCACCTCCTTCAGCATTTACCTCTAAGTCAATGTCATCATCTCCAGTAAAAACACCTTCACCTTCTCGCACCCGTACACCCTCTCCCATCCCTTCACTTCCCCCCACACCCATCCACCATCCATCCCCTACCCCTTCTCCTACACCTACGAAGCCCCCTACACCTTCCCCAACCCCAACACCTGCTCACTCTCCCTCTCCTGGCCCCCTCGTTATAAAAGAAGCATCTGACATTCCACCTATGCCACCACCCTCCATTAGTAGTGCATTACAAGCTGCAGCGACTGCCAAGACAGCCCTCCAGAGAACCGTTACCTCCGAGACTATCGGGAGCTTTTTAGTGAGTAATTTTACTAGTAATGTAAAGAAACGAGTTTGTAACTAGTCACTTAGTCAAGTAACCATAAAAGAAATTTAAATATTCTTTGACTTTGATCCTGATTACAAGAAGGTTAATGTTAAAATGGACCATGTTTTTACTATTTTCCTTTTACGAAAACCTTTTTTTTTGGTTGTAATTATATCGGTTAGATATGGTAGTAATTATCCTCCACTTTCACTGAAACAGTGGATATTAATTTGGGTGTCTGTCTGTCTGTCTGTCTGTCTGTCTGTCTGTCACGCTTCGTTTCCATGCAATAACTACAACAGATATTAACGAATTTTCTTCAAACTTGGTCACAGGGTTAAATGCCTTAAGGGGTCGGCCAAGTTTGATGACCACTTTCGGCAGACCCCCTTTTGGCAGAGTTATGTCCCCTTGAATAATGAAAAAGGTCATTATCTGCCGCGCTTTGTTTCTGTGCAATAATTATAACAAATGTTAACCGATTTTCTTCAAACTTGGTTCGATTTTGATGACAATTGGTATATAGGGATATTAGGGAATTGCGATTTCAGCCGCATTGGTTTCGTTGCCATAACTACCACACGGAGGCTTCTGATTGGTTGAAATTTAGATATTGTTAGATTTTGATGAAAGTTGGTATATAGGGATATTAGGGGACTGATAATTCAACCACATAGGTTTCATTGCCATAGCAACCACAAGCAGGCTTCTTCTTGGTGGAAATTCAGATATTGTTCGATTTTGAAGAAAATCGTTATAAAGGGATATAAGGCGACTGCAAATTCAACTGCATATGTTTTGTTGGCATAGCAACCACATGGAGGCTTCTTATTGATCGCAATTTAGATATTGTTTGATTTTGATGAAAATTGGTATATCGGGGTATTAGGGGACTGAAAATTCAATCGCATTCGTTCCATTGCCATAGCAATTACACAGAGGATTCTGATTGGTTGCAATTTAGAAATTGCTCAATTTCACTCAAATTTAGTATGTACGTATATACATTTTAGGCGTACTAGGGCAATGCGATTCTTTTCTGATGCATCTTTGCGACTATGGTGCTCCCCCATTACAATCAGTACTTGTTGCTGTAGTGTAGATATTGTTAAGATGTTTCAACCTTATGCACATCCAGCTCATGCTAAGTTTGCTAACCGATGTGATTTGTGCATATTTACGGATAATCAATGAGGTATAGGGCTTTTTTTTCTTCAAGTTTCAAGCTATACATTATATCTCAAAAGCACGATACTCACATGTTTAAACCTAACTTCAATAATGTTAACCTACAATATGTCCTGCAAGCGGGGGATATAAATTCCACGAATTTGCTTGTTAGCTGTGTTTGATATGGTAGTAGTTGGTGTAAATAGTAATTAATACATATTTACATATTTTGCAGCTGTTGATCAGATTATTTCTCTTATGCACTGCTACATAACCAACCCTGAGTATATCGTCATACGTACTTGGTTGATGTTTGGACTTGCTGACAATAATTATATAGAGAGACTTAGGAAATGTATTTTAGTTGGAGTTAATCATTGAAGCTAACATGCAACACTGCCTGTTTTGTTTCAGGATACCTCGTCTGGGGAGAAGATCTGGATCTGCCCTGCTTGTAAACGTCAGGATGACGGCAGCCCCATGGTTGGCTGTGACATCTGCGATGATTGGTATCATTGGTAAGAGACGTTCATTTCAGTTGATATGATAATATTGCTATATGTAGATACAAACCATGTGGTATAGAGGTGTGACAATATTCCTGTATGTAGGTACATAGATGGTATAAATATATTAATCATGATTAAATAAAACTAACGTTAACGGTTATATACAAAATATTGCTGTGAAAAATACTTACTGAATAAAACCTTATCTGATACCCTTCTTTTGAAAACTTTATTAAAAATTGTCTGTTAAACTCATTCTAGATTTTGTTTTGATGTCTGAAAAATATTTGTTCATGCAAATTCTTATTTTGATACATGTTTCTTGTTTTGTAGGGAATGTATAGGGATAAATAAAGAACCTGAGGAGGATAGCTGGTACTGCAACAAGTGTTTAGCCCCGGCGAGGAAACCATCCAAACGTGGGCGTGGGGGTGGACGGGGTAGGGGCCGAGGCAGAGGCAGGAAAAAATCTTTGAAAGACTAATGTGTATTACAAAACAAATGACTATATATTTTTTGCTGTTCAGACGGATACTAAAGCAATAAGTCCGGGCTGAATTACAAATCTGAACAGTTTTTTGGAGTAGAGCAGGAAGGAGAGTTCTGAGGAAACACTGCTCTGTGTTTAGATTCTGTTGTGTTCCACTATTGTTTGTGTACGTTACAGGTAGATTGGAAACTCTTGTTTTAATGATTTGGCTATATTGAATATAATTGTATGAAACAGATCTAGAGTACATAAATTATTATGAGGTGTTTTATAAGAGATAATTTATGTTAAAACAACTTCAGGTAAATTGTACCACAGCATTAGTTATAATCGCAGAGAAGAGCTTCACTCAGAGTGTCACTGTGGTTGTAAGGTTTCCATAGTAACTGTTACTGTGGTTGTAAAGTTTCCATAGTAACTGTAACTATGACTAAGGTTTCCATAGTAACTGTCACTGTGACTAAGGTTTCCATAGTAACTGTCACTGTGGTTGTAAGATTTCCATAGTAACTGTTACTGTGGTTGTAAAGTTTCCACAGTAACTGTCACTATGGTTGTAAGATTTTCATAGTAACTGTTACTGTGGTTGTAAAGTATCCATAGTAACTGTAACTATGACTAAGGTTTCCATAGTTACTGTCACTGTGACTAAGGTTTCCATAGTAACTGTCACTATGGTTGCAAGGTTTCCATAGTAACTGTAACTATGACTAAGGTTTCCATAGTAACTGTCACTGTGATTGTAAGGTTTTCATAGTAACTGTCTGTATGGTTGTAAGGTTTCCATAGTAACTTACTGTCACTATGGTTGTAAGGTTTCCATAGGTTTCCATAGTTATGTAATAGCTAGGGGATGATATTTATCTATCCGAATAGCATTTGTCTGGTATGAAAGAAGATGTAAGTTTGGATTAATTGCATGTACCTGTTTAGAAGCCTGATCAGGTGAAGATATGTCTTAATTACATCTTCCTGTATGTTTCCTCATGTGAGATATTTATAAATGGCAGCAATTTGTTTTATGTTTCAAAGGTTTTCTCTGTTGATAATTGTATAAGATACCAGATTTATTTGTCATTAAGTTTAGGGTAACTAAAACGTGTTACATAATGCTAAGGTTTCAACTAAAAAGCAGTTCTCCAATTGTGAAACTGGCTTAACACTTTTTGTTAACAAGTAGAAATGCATTGGGCAGAAGAAATTAAATTACAAAAAAATGCATTTTATTTACAAAATGTGACTCTGTAAACTAGAGGCACCTATTGGTTATAAAAAGATAAAGGTACTGATAAAGTGTTAACAAACTCAAAGCTGTAAATTTCAGTTTTACGTTTATGATTTCTTTTATAAAACTAGTTTGTTGAACCTGAATCCGTTAAAGTGTTCATATTCACTGTACGAACCGTTAAAGTGTTCATATTCACTGTACGAACCGTTAAAGTGTTCATATTCACTGTACGAACCGTTAAAGTGTTCATATTCACTGTACGAACCGTTAAAGTGTTCATATTCACTGTACGAACCGTTAAAGTGTTCATATTCACTGTACGAACCGTTAAAGTGTTCATATTCACTGTACGAACCGTTAAAGTGTTCATATTCACTGTACGAACCGTTAAAGTGTTCATATTCACTGTACGAACCGTTAAAGTGTTCATATTCACTGTACGAATATTGACTTCAACCACTAAAAATATCTAAATATAATGAATGTGTCACACATACAGTAGATGTAGACACACGGTGGAATGTTACGATATTTACAGGGTTTAACATTACAGCTGAACAACGAAATGAATGTATTGGCCCTTCATGGAATGTCAGGTTTATACATTGGAGATCTGGTTTATACATAGTAGGTCTGATTTATACCAGGTGTATATTCTACAAGTTTCGGTTTAGAGATGTTACGCTATACATTATATATTGGGAAGTTTTAAGTGTGAAGTAAAGCATTGTGTTAAGGACAAACTAAAGTCAAACACTAGAATTCTCATGTGTAGCATTTTTCATATGTGTAAGGATTTATTTTACTATTTTATTATGGTAAAATTAAAGTAGATAAAATGTTCATTTTCATTTGTATTTATTCATTATTCATTATAGTTTAGACATTTTTACGTTTTATTTAATATGAAGTTGAATGTTCTTGGTAGAAAGGACAGATAATTGATGGATGAAGATGTATACAACTGTAATAAAATTGTATACAGCTTATTTTGACAGTGTTTGTTTTATCACTCAAGTAATTAAGCTCACCTGGCACGAAGTTTCTTTTTGTTTATAGTATGATGTGACGTCTGTTGTCAGTCTGTCAGCTTTAATACACTCGCCATTGTAGAGGGGTAGGGAGCCTCAAACTAATTTGTTTCCCATGTCTGTCATGTCACGTCCGTTTTCAGTGTAATCACTCTAGTGACTCCATTTCTTACAGAAACTTCATACAGAGGTTAAGTATGAGAATACCCACGTGAATACTACTATCTATTGTCAGGCAATGAAACTGATTTTATGTGGCAGTAGGGGTAAAATGTATCTTCAGACGTTTTCTATTTTTAGATAGCTTCTAAGGATGGAATGATATAAAGTTTCCTCAAATAAATGACCTTATCCTACTTCCAAAGTTTTCCAGATGTTGACTATGTTAATAAGGTTGTAATACTATAAAGACTAGACATATCATCTTTTTTTCTGATACATTGTGCTATAGTCAAAGGTTAAATTTGAGAGCTGGGTAGGGTCAAAGGTCAATAAAGCTATAACTGTTAAAAAATAGTTCTTAAAGCGTCGAGTTCCAGAATCCCTAATGTCAGGATCTTATGCAAGTGGCTACTTGGGGCGGAATGCAATCAAGTTTCCTCAAACAATTGGCCTTTACCTATTTTCTAGGTCACCTTTATATGTCAAATATGTTAAAAACCTTCAACACCATTTTGAAATCAAGAAGTAGCAAGTTCAAGACATTATGCTGCTGAGTGTATAACAGTTATCATGTTGGTATGCTGCTGAGTGTATAACAGTTATCATGTTGGTATGCTGCAGAGTGTATAACAGTTATCATGTTGGTATGCTGCAGGGTGTATAACTGTTATCATGTTGGTATGCTGCTGAGTGTATAACAGTTATCATGTTGGTATGCTGCTTAGTGTAGAACAGTTATCATGTTGGTATGCTGCAGAGTGTATAACAGATATCATGTCGGTATGCTGCAGGGTGTATAACTGTTATCATGTTGGTATGCTGCTTAGTGTATAACAGTTATCATGTTGGTATGCTGCTTAGTGTATAACTGTTATCATGTTAGCATAAAGGAATACGTTTGATCAACATTCAGTGGTTACGCTCATCTTGTTTGTAAATAGTATGCTTACCCTACTGATAAAGCTCCAGTCCTGCAGACGCTCATGGATCGCTTCTTGTTCTTGGTGGCAGTGACTGCATGAAAACTGAATATGTATGAATTGAAACCAAAAACAAGAACCCCAATATGTTTACAAATTTGTCTCGTATTCCTTTTTAAAATCGATTTCTTACCTGCTAGGGTGTTTGGGCCTAAACTTTTAAATGTCTGGTGATATCAATTAATTAGTAGACCTAGAGTGTTATGAACGAATGCAGATCCAAAAAATTGTTTAACATTCTGAATAGTAGTAACCAGTGTAGAAGAGTTGGCCGTTTGTGACTGGAAAATAAGGGTTCAGAATAATTATCACTTCCGAAATTATAATTTTTTATAATGTATATGCTTCTATGACGTCATAATAACCGATAACACTCCTGCTGAGAGTCATCACATTTTGATTAATCAACACGAGGTGTCATTAAGGTTTCTTTATCAGCATTTTTTTTTTTAACTAACATGAATTCCACTTATTGGGGTTCTAATGACCCGCACTGACTTTGGACACATCGGGATCACTTTGTATGTTGTAGAGTAGAGTTGGTGTTCCTATATCACCCGGTTCTTCACAATCGTTTCCACTTACACTTGCAATTCTTTGCTTACCATGACAACATGTTAGCTCTACATAATTTAAAATCAAAATAGTGTCAGGAAATTCGCTAACTTGTTAAATGATACTTTAATAGTGTCATTCAGTGCCCCCAAACACGCAGACAAATACACGTCGGCAGTGATTAGGTGGACTTATTTTAAGCCCTTTTGTCAATATTCCACTTTGCACTTACGTTGGTACTTATAAGGTGACCGCTATGCTCGATCTAACTAACGTGTTGTAACTTTTTGTTATATTCCCCCCATGTCTTATTATTTCAACTACAAGCAAACGCTGCGAATTTAACTGACAATAGAATAACTCCTACATCATTGTTCCCCGTCTCACTTCAACTATGGCCAAACCGACCATGTATAAGGTAAAGCTCCGAAATCTTTTCATGAAGGGTATAAAATATCGAGAGACTTATAATGATAAGCAAAAAATACTAATTAAGAAAACACCTCCCTGAATTGTTTTCTTTTTAGACACAGAAAGCCAAACGAAGTGTGGACTCCTGCAATTGAGGTTCAAAGTAGTCAAACCCATGTCAAAAGTGTCCTAAACAGACGTAGAATGTAGCGGAAAAGTAAAGGGCGCATGTGGAGTCCTTTATGACGTTACACGATTACAACTATGGACTATGAAATATATTTTATACTAACTAAGTGAACGCTGATAGATAAATTCCAGCTACAGGCTCTACCATCAAACGGAAGGATTTCAACACACTAATGGATTCCGTGGAAAGGTAAGTCAGACAATGGGCAAAGGGAGTGTATGCTGAATCTACGTTGGCTGACGTGTTCAATTTTCTTTCCGTTTTTCAGGGCGAAAAGACGAGAATGAACGAATTAACTTCTCGTTCGTTCGTATTTTCACTCCCTTAAGACGAAATAACGAGGAATACAATCTAGATCTCGTCTATTTGTGGCGAAAATGTTAGAAACAACGAAACGGCACAAGTCAACCACAGTATGAATCGAATTCACTTTTAAAATGAGTTAAGTCTACCAGGTAGATCATTCTTAATAAAGAATTATCAAATTGAAATCAAAGATGCGAGTCAAACGGAAATCTGTATTTTTATAACCTGGATATGTCCAAACCACACTCAACGATCTGTGTTATCAGTGTGGTGTCGTTAGTCAAGTCATCTGTAATTACTGTATCATTGTCTGCTTATACGTTCCTATAGAATGGTTGCAAAATTAACTAGTCTTGCTTGATATCTAAGCTAACCATGTTCACAAATTATACAATTTTCGAGACGATATAGACGAAATGCCAATCACGCTACTGTATGGAATAAGAACACGGACTGATATCGTTAGTGCTGGATTCCGAAACCTCAGAAATCTTTCAACCAAGGCATTATCAAAACTTCCTACCGCCAGTTATAGTATACGTGCGTATTTTCTTTTGTTCATATTCTGCTCTAGTTTCGTTGATTTTAAGTTCAAATTACGTGTTTGTGTAAATATACCATGTCACAAAAGTCTGTAACCCTGATTTAACGGTACTAAGGTTGCTAGTTAGACATGGATAATAGCTTGTTTGAGAAATTATTGCAGAGACAGTGGGGAGAAAGCAATATTTATAATGATTCCTGTGTAGTGTTTGAATCCAATACAAACGAAGCATGTCTTCTCTTTGTCATTAACCAGTAATCAGGAAGATTACAATACAACAGCATGGTTAGCTAGTATTTCGTCTTCAGAAAACTTTGAAATAATGGTTTCCTAGGTTATACGACAAAGGTAATTCTTTTTTGCAAGCTGAATATGTGATAATATTGGCAGACAAGGATAACGTTATGAGCTGCTTTGTCTGCCGACAAGGTACACAATTATCATACAGATCGAAGAGTTTGGCTAGGACAGCGGAGTTTCACAAATACATCTTTGTGTTTTGGCTTTCTTTTCGTATTTCAAGCTGCTAATTCTGGTCTTCGTAGATTTTTCAGATTCTGAGAATGAACACAAATCAACACGGTCTCTCACCTGCTGATTCACTGCTCTAAATGGACACACCACCAAAAAGATAAAAAATAGAAAATAGACACGTACAAGAAACCATTCGGTAAGTATCAACTACATTATATTATGTCATGTTATGCCATGGCGCAGCGCCCGTCGTCCGTTGTCCGCCCGCCTGTCAATTTTCCTTTAAACACTACTTTAATGGATTCTATGGAAAGCTAAGTCAGACAATGGGCAAAGGGAGTGTATGCTGAATCTACGGTGGCTGACGTGTTCTATTTTCTTTCCGTTTTTCAGGGCGAAAAGACGAGAATGAACGAATTAACTTCTCGTTCGTTCGTATTTTCACTCCCTTAAGACGAAACAACGAGGAATACAATCTAGATCTCGTCTTTTTGTGGCGAAAATGTTAGAAACAACGAAACGGCACAAATCAACCACAGTATGAATCGAATTCACTTTTAAAATGAGTTAAGTCTACCAGGTAGATCATTCTTAATAAAGAATTATCAAATTGAAATCAAAGATGATGCGAGCCAAACGGAAATCTGTATTTTTATAACCTGGATATGTCCAAACCACACTCAACGATCTGTGTTATCAGTGTGGTGTCGTTAGTCAAGTCATCTGTAATTACTGTATCATTGTCTGCTAATACGTTCTTATAGAATGGTTGCAAAATTAACTAGTCTTGCTTGATATCTAAGCTAACCATGTTTACAAATTATACAATTTTCGAGACGATATAGACGAAATGCCAATCAAGCTATTGTATGGAATAAGAACACGGACTGATATCGTTAGTGCTGGATTCCGAAACCCCAGAAATCTTTCAACCAAGGCATTATCAAAACTTTCTACCGCCAGTTATAGTATACATGTGTATTTTCTTTCGTTCATATTCTGCTCTAGTTTCGTTGATTTTAAGTTCAAATTACGTGTTTGTGTAAATATACCATGTCACAAAAGTCTGTAACCCTGATTTAACGGTACTAAGGTTGCTAGTTAGAAATCGATAACAGTTTGTTTGAGAAATTATTGCAGAGACAGTGGGCAGAAAGCAATATTTATAATGATTCCTCTGAAGTGTTTGAATCCAATACAAACGGAGCATGTCTTCTCTTTGTCATTAACCAGTATTCGGAAAGATTACAATACAACAGCATGGTTAGCTAGTACTTCGTCTTTAGAAAACTTTGAAATAATGGTTTCCTAGGTTATACGACAAAGGTAATTCTTTTTTGCAAGCTGA